CCCCCATATGAATGATCATTACATACTGCTAGCTGCAAGGACTCAGGTCTTGCTCGGGATAAGTTAGCAGGCTCCAGTTCAACTGAACATAGAACACTAAAATGGTTATCATACATGAACATTTCTTTGGTCTCCCATGCAACAACTGCAGACATGCCAGATCCCTACAGAAATGCAATTGGAAGTCGTTTTATTCATTGTAATGATAGGTTACCCCTGAAACTATATAATAATTAATTTATATTATATTTATAGCAATTATTTATTTAAACATGTAAAACTGTTATTTGTACTAAACGTCAGCTTTTAGTACCAATTGACCGACCAACTGTTAAGCACCCATTATCATCTTGCTTTTGGCAAAGAAATATCACTAATATTTCAATTCATTAAATGCAGCCCATAAACCGAACGGATTTAAAAGCTACACCTGCTGGCATGCCTTCTGTACATTTCTAGACAGCATACCAGAAGACAGAATGTTCTGAACTGAATGTTAGCAAGCATTACACTAATTTGTCTTCTTCAATGATGCTTTATCGTTCCAAATGTATGAATTCAGTTTGAATGATCAGCTGTTTCATATAAGCTATGTTAATCAAACTCCATGTTGTAACATCCCAGTACCTCTTATAAAAATATGTAATACAATATAAATAAAATAATCTCAGTCCACATTTCATTAAAAAAGAGTGGTAAAATTGTCAGTGACAGTACGAACTCAAAATTCATGCAGCTTGAAATAACGACAATTAAGGAACTTGCATAAACAAGAAGTTCTGGGAAAACTAATCAGACACTACTGGGTCAACATTTCTTTTATTAGCCATTGGTGGAAACGCTACACGTTAGAACAGCTAAAGCATAATAATACCACCACCATGGGCAACTGTATATATAGACAACATCAAATTTGAATATCTAACTCCAAGTATAAATAAGTATAACAAGTATAGCCTTCACTTGATAATAGGAAAGTTAAAAATCAACACAACCCAGATTCTGAGGAAAGGTTCCAGCAAGCAGTTACCCCACGTCACAACTATCACTACCACAGAGGAACAACCAAACACATTTACAGATATGTAGCAGTCACAAAGTCTAATATAAGACTTATAACATAAATTATAAATTTCTCAATCACTATTTAATTTTAATTTTTATCTTTTATAGTCAAGTTTTAAACTATGTTTGAACTACATTTAAATTAAAAGTATAATTATTAGTATAAAAATTCGTTCAAACACCATATGAATCTGTACTGAACGATGACGCAATTCAGGAACTAGTACCAGTATTCTTGCATGCCTGAAGATGACGCAAGAAAAGGGTTGGAACATGCAGCATTACCACCAACAGCTAATAAAACAAATGTTGACAAAACTGTGTCTATTTTATCTTCTTTAAAATTACTGTTGTCTAGACTGTCTCATTATATATTTTCTGTTTTCCTTTTTTAGTATTAATGCCTACCGAAGTCAATAAAACAATACGATCTGGAAGGCTACACTGTTCCTATTATTAATGGGACTGATTTACTGAACACTCAAGACTAAAACCTTATGGAAACCCATAATGAATCTGTCAGGTCATACAGATCTTCTCTGAGTTGGAAACCTCATTGCTGATGAGGGGAATCCAGATATGAGAAATATTCAAACTGGGGTGGCTAATGGGATTGGTTAAGGATGCCATATGGGCTAATTCCTTGTTCTTTCTATACCTGATGTTGCTTTCAATTTCCAAAATCCTACCATTATCCCAGCCTACCCTATGAATTTCTTCACAGGCATGTTGGGCTAATTTTGAATTTTCTAGAAGAACCTCTTTGAGACTGTGCCTGTGTTTATCCAGTTGTATGGCTAGAGGTCTGCCTGTTTCACCAATGTATCTTCTGCCACATTCAGAAGGAATACTATAGATTGTAATTATTATTAACTATTAATTGTAGTACCAGATCTGTCTATGATCTGCATTATCCACAAACTAGTCTAACACAATTCCAAAAAGGAATATGTTACATGGGGGTAAAGATCTTTAATCATTTGCCACCAAAAATCAAATCTATGTCTAATGACTTGAAAAATTTTAAAATTCAGTTGACAACATTTTTATTGCAAAACTCTTTTTATACATGTGATGAATTCTTTAGTAACAAATTTGCCTAGAAATAAGGATAATAGCATAAACAATTTTAATATTGCATAATTTTATGTATAGTGATGTAAGACTGTTTTTTTGATATAAATTTAACACGTGTTTTTTTATCTATTTTAATGATTATAAACTGTACATATATATTTATATTTGTATTGTACTATATTAACTATGTGACTGGTTCTATATCTGTGTATGTGGATTTATGGAATATATGTTATGTTGGCAACTCTCAGATACTGAAATATAATGTTAGAGTTGGCAACATCATAGTAAACAATTTAAGAACTAGGTTATGTGTCATTACCTAAGTGATGTTTACTGTTATGTGTAACGTGTGTAACAACAGTATCTTTATATTGTTATGTGTTACTATGGTTATAAGCCTGTATGTATATATAAGGCGTACTTCTGTATCAAATAGCTCAGTCTTAATAAAGCAGGAGTAGAGTGAACACTGATTCTCACTTATCATTCGATCCACGTGGAAGTAACAAAAATAACAATATACAATAAATGAATGAATGAATGAATGAATGAATAAATAGATAAACTGTGACATCTGTTGCAGATTTATTTCCCGCCTGATTTTCATGAGTGAACTCCTAAGAGTGTGGTTAGTTTTCAAGATCTCCCTCAAGAGGGTACAGGAAGACAAACAGTACACATTATAAAGTGATGATGACCTTCCACTTAAAAAACATTACAAAGAATTGAACAAACAAGATGTGGTCATCTGGAAGAAACTGTCCTAAACTTTAAACCTTCCATGAGAAAATTATAGCCATAAGAAAATCAATCTACTCAAACTGTCTACAACAAAAATTTGAAAATTTCTCTTTATATTTCCAAGGCTGCTAAAATGTGCCAATGTAAATTTATCCCAGGCCATCAAGGCACAGGCCTATGTAATCGTTGACAGAATTACAGCAGCTTATGGAACCTTCAGGTTATCCAAGGCAGGAACATTGTTTGTTATGAAGCATAGTGTCTCAGAAGACAAGTAATTAACATGTTGATGAAAATATAATTTACTGGCCAACGTCATACCAAGATCCCTTACAGTCAGTACTCGAAACTAAAACTTCACCAATATCATAAATAAAATGCACAATATTAGTTTTATGAGAAGATTAAATAGCATTAGTTTTCTGAATTTTCGAAGCTCTACGTCCATACAGCATTAATACTCACGTGTATACATCTCCCAATTGAAACGTAGCAACAAGCAATAAATGTTGAGTGCAGCTTCCACTATATCACACCACTATATCACACTCCAACCGTTACTCTGTCAGCTCTGATCACACTGCAACCGTTACTATGTCACCTCTATCACTCCCTGCTCAACTGCTACAGCTTTTATCACATCCCCTCCACCTGCCTCCACCTGTTGTGACGTGTTCGCACCTTTTGCCACATAACCTCCACCTGTTGCTCTGCTATTACGTAATCAGCTGCCACGTAACTCTAATTTTTTTATTTATTATTAACGCACCTGTTGCTCTGCTGTTACGTAATCAGCTGCCACGTAACTCTATTTTTTTATTTATTATTAATTTCTGTTGATCCATACTGGTAGAACAATTGGATGTAGAAAAGCCAAAAATAAGTACAACAACAACAATAAATAATAATAATAATAATAATAATAATAATAATAATAATAATAATAATAACAATGACATGCAATCATTAAAAGATTTTGTCAAATAAAAATATAAGTAATAGAGCACTGTAAATATTGATACAATGATGTTACGATTCCCATCAGAAATACTTATCTAGTTTTAGGCATAAAAAATTCATCCACAGTATAAAAAGAATGCTCATGCAAATAATATTTAATTCTCTTTTGAAGCTTTTAATATCACATGCGAAGTCATTAGTATCTGCTGGGAGATGGATATATGTCTTAACGCCTGCGTAGGTGGGACTTTTATGAAACATTGTCAACTGAGTCGTTACTTGAAAAAAAATTAGAATATTCCTGGTATAAAAATTATAAAATTCAGAATTTTGTCTAAACAGTGATTTATTGGTAACCATAAACAGAGCCAAGGAGAGTATATACTGGGATGCCAGAGGTAGTATATTTAAAATTTTAAAAAATATTCTGCAAGAATCCATGGGTCTTCCTGCCATTAATATTCTAACCATTCGTTTTTCGAGTCTGAAAATATTCGTACTGCGGGAAGAAGTTCCCCAGAAAATTAATCCATATGTTATAACTGAATAAAAATAAGCATGATAGATTATCTTTAGGCAATTTAATGATAAGAAAGGGCTGATTGCTCTTGCAATATAACACGCTTTGTTTAATTTGGAAGCCAACATATCGATGTGACTTTACAGGACATAGTATTATGAAATACTAACTAAAAACTTTTGTTCCGTAGTATTGGAAATAATTTTGTTGTTATATTTAATTTGTATTTCGGAATTAATAATATATTTAGAGTGGAATCCCATACAATAGGTTTTGTTCAGATTTAGTGAGACTAAATTTGCCTTAAACCATGTTCCCAGAGCCGTTCCAGTGGATGTCACAGTATGTGTAATGGCGGATATAATGCGAACAGCAGGAAATTGCACAGGCGGCTGAGTTGAGAACGTAATATTAAGTTATTTGTTAATTACTGTTGATCTTATTGGACTCGATATTTCGTTATGCAACTAAAGTGTTTTTGTTGTGTATGAGGTAATAAATATTAATTTTTAAGAATCGTATATGCATCTGAAAGGTTATTCTTTACGCAATAAAAATATTTTACGTAGTCCTTATTGAAAAGTGAGATTCGAAGCATTACCTACTTTAGAAATAAACTCCCTTTTCAGTTGTTTTAATTCTAATTGTTTACATAAAGCGAAATGAACTCTCTCTTCAGCCATTTTAATATCAGTTTTTAATATAAAGAAGGAAGTGTATCAGTATCGCCAGACCAATCCGATTTCCAGCATATTCATTAAAGATGAATCGCTCCAGAGAACATATTTCTTAAGTGAGATTTCTTATGCTACCAAGGTTGTTACTCAGTCCATCCAAGACCATCCAAGACATCCAAGAGGTATACAAATGGTGGAAGTATCTGTTGTTGTTAATAGTGCAACGCACCACATTATAGTGGTTATAATGCAACTCAGTCCAGTGAAAATTTTAGGGAAACATAGAAATCAAAACCATACTACTGAAAGTGTTAAATGAACCTAGTGTTATGAAGGGAAGTGTTGAGCTTTTGCAGAAAGATATTAGGAGACTGAAGGTAGGAGTTATTTATAGCAAGATAGTGCAGTAAATACTCAGTATGTAGCTATCCAGACTCCTTGTAAAATAGTCAGTTACATTTTAGATAAATGGATGTAATTGGTGATGTGAGAGAATCAAAACAGTTTTTAAAAACTGACGAGAGACAAGCAGTCAAAGAGGTTGTGTTGTCAGAAGTCAATACTATTCCAGGTAACAAGTTTGTATGAAACTATTAGAGAGCAAACTTTAAATGAAGCTAAGTGGTCAGATGCAGTAGTTTGAAAACAGAAAAATTCTCTTATGGAGTACAGGAAAATACATACCTGATATGGGTCATAACAAATCGCTGAGTAACCTTGTATTAGTGATGAGTGTGAGATGCTGGTGTGCAAATCAACAGGAAATCAAGAAATGGGAAAACATAGTAAAAAGAAGACATCCAAAAGGAGAAACACAAGATTATAATTATTGGATATAGCCATAAAAGAGACTGCATCTAAAGTGAAATAAGACCTGGATAACACATTTGCAGCTCCGGGGGTTATTAAGCCAGGTGCCGATTTAATGACTTACAAAAACAGCAAAAGAAGAAGTTAAAAATTTGACAACGAAAGATGTGGCTGTAGTGTATGGAGGCACAAAGGATGTAGGAAAAAATTAATCTTGAAAAAGTTGAAGGACTCTGTTAGAGAAAATAGTCATATAAACATTATTCAACTGTGGGGCCCAAATAGATTTGACTTACATGTGAATTCTTGTGTAAATAAAGAGGTGGAAATTTGTAATAGAAAATTAAGGAAACAGATGAAGGCTTTTGAAAATATAGCTCTTATTAAGTTAGATTGAAGTAAGAAACCTGTTTACAAAACATGGTTTACACTTAAATGCTAAAGAGAAGATTTAGCTGCAAAGAAAATTATAAAATACATGTTAAATAAAAGAACTAATTTATGTGACTTGGAATGAAGACAACCAGGAACATGAAGGTCAAGAATTTGAAGAAGGAAGGGGGACTGATAGACTTCCAGGAAGACACTGATCTCCATGCAGACAGATGTCAGGGTATAAATAATGATGTCACTACCACAAAACTAGTATGATAGGCATTCTTTAAATCAACTTACTTACTTACTTACTTACTTACTCATGGAGCTGAGCCCTTCTGGAGGAGCCACCAATTCTGCAGCTACTCAAGAATTTCCCAGCATTTGTGGAACCTGAAGGTTCATTACCGTGTTCACAAGAGCCCTCCACTGGTCCCTATCCTGAGCCAGATCAATCCAACCAATACCATCCCATCCTATCTCTCTAAGATCCATTTTAATATTGTCCTCCCACCTACATCTTGGTCTTCACAGTGGTCTCTTTCCTTCTGGCTTTCCCACCAATATCCTATATGCATTCCTCATCTTCCCCATTCGTGCTACATTCCCTGTCCACCTCATTCTCCTTGACTTGTTCATTCTAATTATACTTGGAGAAGAGTACAAGTTATGAAGTTTCTCATTATGTAGTTTTCTCCAACCTCCTGTCACTTCATCTCTGTTCGGTCCAAATATTCTCCTCAACACCCTGTTCTCAAACACTCTCAGTCTATGTTCCTCCCTTAAAGTCAGAGACCAAGTTTCACACCCATACAGAACAACAGCAAAATTATGGTTTTCTATATTCTAATTTTTGTTTTTGGACAACAGATGGGAAGACAAAAGGTTCTGGACTGAATGGTAGCAGGCATTACCTGAGTTCAGTCTCCTCTTAATTTCCTCCTGAATCAGGTTTCGATTTTTAAATCAACTTTAATTTTTATTTATGTCTTGTATCTAATTTGATTATTTATTTGGTTTTGATAGTGTGTTATAATTTTCATTATAGGTTTAACCATGTCAAGAGTATTTATTTGTTGACAAATTCTAATGCTTTAAACATTTGTTCAGAGGGCTTGTATTAAATGAAGTGACTTGTTCAAGTGTTGTGGCAATTATGAATGCTAAATGAAATGAAACTGTTTCATCAGAAAGACTTGGGGAACCACCTATTACAAGAAAGGATGATTTCTTTTATGGACAGATGCCAGAACAAAACTAGAATTGGTATGAAGTTAGACAAAAAGGATGCAAAATGAAGTCACCGCAGTGAAGACTTCAAATCTTAACAGGATGTAAATTCTTCACAAATATCAATTCTCCACCATATGTGGAGAGCTTACAAAATAAATTATTGGTGTTAACTATCTTATTACAATAGATCTCAAAAATGTATTATATTTTACTGAACATTAGTCAAAAGAGGAGCATATTGGATTAATAAATATTGATAATTTTAAATTAATAAGTACTTCTAGTAGAATTAGTAGTGAACATGGTGGTTCATATATATAAAAGTAAAGTAAAGTACAGGTATCCCTGTAAGAGGCTGTGAGATGTTGAGGCTCCCTCATAGTCTAGACCAGGGGTCTCCAAACTTTTTGAAATGCGGGCCACATTCGGTAATTCCGCACTTTCAACGGGCAAGATAAAATGAGAAATTAATAACTCTAGGTATATGTGTTTTATTGAAAGCACAGAATTTCATAAACTAAATACAAAGTACGTGAGAATAAATTATCGCATATTAATGACAACAGGCAGTAGCAGCAAATGCTCATATTTTCATCAAAAATTATAATAAAACAATTAACGTGAATGATGGAACTCTTTTTGCATTCTTCTATCTGATTAAATTGAGGTTCAAATTTTGACACGCTAATCACAAGTAGTGACTCTAAATGTTCATCGGATAAATTTACTTTGTGTTTTGATTTGATGTACTTCATCTGGGAAAAAGTTTGTTCACACAGATATGTCGTCCCAAAAATGGAGATAAATTTACAAGCCGGCCGTCGTAGAATGGACTAAAGTTCCAGTAGCCTTATCAACATTCCTCGCTACCAGTTAGAGCAAAACTGGGCATAAGTTGCCTTTAATACATACAAAAATGGTAATAAGTATGACACAGGCGGTGACGTTGATCTGTTACAATTACACTGTACCACTGCAAGAAGTCTTGTGCACAAGACGTCTAGTAATGAACTGCTCGCGCTACCTACATTGCCACGAAGTGACACTGCTGATCGAGGCCGAACAAGTACAAAGAAATACCGCGCAGTATAAGGTCAAGAATTAGTAAAATTGTGAATAATATTAATATTAACAAAATATGGAATATCAATATATTTTAAACACAATCTTAAGTAATGAATTTGAAATCTATGAACAAGTATTTTTTTTACCAGTACTCATTGGAAAATTAGTTCAATTGGCGCATTTCTGCACAATTCTTTCGCAGGCCAGATAAAATCACATCGCGGTCCGCAGTTTGGAGACCCTTGGTCTAGACAATCAGCTCACAGATGGTGGTGAGGTTGCCAGCGTTATGTGCCGGCCGCCCTTTACCCCCAGGATTATTCCTGATATTCATTTCTGTTAGAGGCTCAGTCAACCCCAGGGCCATAATGCAGCTGGAAGGATTAGGTAAATTGAAAAAATCCACTTCATTGGGATCCTACAACCTTCCAACTAGTAGCATAGTGCCTCAACCAACTACACTACTATGTATGTAAAGTATGAGGAGCATTCCATATATAATGCCTTTTTTTTTCTTTAATGAAAACTACAACAGATACAGAAAGCATAACAACACAGTTAAATAGAGCAAGATTTCAGCTACTTACAGTAATTTTTCCACATAATCACCACCATTCGTTATGCAGTTTTGCCAGCGAAGAATAAGAGCCTGTATGCCATGCTTGTAAAAGTCTGCAACAGCAGAGGCCGGCCACTTTGTTACAGCTGCAGTGATAGCTTCGTTGTCTGGAAAATGTTGCCCAAGTAGTCCATCTTTCATAGGCCCAAAGAGATGGAAGTCTGAAGGTGCTAAATCAGGGCTATAAGGTGGATGTGGTAGGACAGTCCAGCCAAACTTTGCAATGTGCGCGGTGGTCGCAAACTGGTGTGGGGTCTAGCGTTATTGTGTTGCAAGCGAAAGATTGCTTTCAGCTTAGTCAGCAGCCCCTTGTAGCATTCAGAATTGATAGTCTCACCAAGCTCCAGGAAATTAATAAAATGACACCCTGCCTATCCCAAAAATCATTCACATCACTTTCGCTGCCGATGGCTGTGTCTTGAACTTATTTTTTCTTGGTAATCCAGATTTTGCCACTCAGTTAACCGTCTTTTGGATTCTGGCTCGTAGTGGTGACACTATGTCTCATCTCCGGTGACGATGCTTTCCAGAAACTTGTCACCTTCAGCCTCAAACTGGTGCAACAGGTCCTGACAGACTTCCATTCGATGAGTTTTGTGGTCCTGTGTAAGCATCTGTGGGACCCACCTGAAACAAACTTTGTGATAATTCAGCTTTCCCAACATCATTTCCAATGCATTACAGCCGATATTAAGCCGTGCACACAATTCCCTGGTCGTTATCTGCCAATCTGTACGGATGAGCTGATCGAGGTGCTGTTCATTGTGAGGAGTGGCAGCTGAGCAGGGATGCCCAGGGCGTGGCTTGTTGTGCACTTCACTTTCGCCACTGTCGAAACGCACTACCCACTGCCTCACTGTGCTGACATCCACTGTATCATCTCCGTACACCTTTAGCAAGTGCGATGGATGTCAATGGGTGCAATTTGTTCGGCAGTGAGAAATTCAATAACACATCTCTGTTTCATATGCACTTATACGATGGGGTACCCAAAAGAAACCGAACTAATTTTTTTGTGGGCAGAGCTTTTGTAGTACCGCATTTTGCCACCATGAGCCCATAGAGCTAACATTCCTGAGTCGATAAGCCGACTACCGTTGCTTCAGAAGGTAAGGACTAGTTTCGGCAGAGTTTATAGTGACAACTGTTTTGTGTGATCGTCGGTTTTGCAATGGCATATTTTCGTGAACAGCGTGCGGCTGTGAAATTCTGCTTTTTGCTCAGGAAAAGTGGAACAGAAACTCTTTAAATGTTAAAAACGGCGTACAAGGACGATGCTGTGGGGAAAACTCAAGTGTTTGAGTGGTTTTCCTGTTTCAAAAATGGTGAAATGTCAATTGATGACAAACCTCGTTCTG